ATTTCCATTATTAAACTGTTTTTATCTCAACCCACAAATTTTTATCACTTGTGCTCTTCCAATTCTCTCCCCCATCCCATCGGGGCGGGGGGGAGGGGGGAAGTGAGCGAGCGGCTCTGTGGTGCTCAGTTGCCAACTGACTGAGGTTAAACCACAACAGAAGCATCCATTTGGTCTTCCTGGAATAAATACCATAAGGATTTACCATAGAATTCATTGGGCTAACAAGGTAATAAGTCTAACACATGTTCTTTTTTCGATCAGATTAACATGATTATATTTACCGTCTGAGATGCTTTGTATCATGCTTGTATAGCCAGGTATAACGTAGATGAAATTAGTTTGGTCTTAGACCTATGCTTCAATAGACAACTATCCATAGACAAGTCATCATTTCATAAAATTTGGCCCAGTTTGAAGACAGTGTCCAAAACCAGAAATGTGAAAGAGGCTAAAGTATTTCAAGGGAAGATGATTTCTTCAGAATAGGCTGGTCTTGTCTGGGAGATTTTTATCACTTGCACTACGTAGATGAAATTAGTTTGGTCTTAGACCTATGCTTCAATAGACAACTATCCATAGACAAGTCATCATTTCATAAAATTTGGCCCAGTTTGAAGACAGTGTCCAAAACCAGAAATGTGAAAGAGGCTAAAGTATTTCAAGGGAAGATGATTTCTTCAGAATAGGCTGGTCTTGTCTGGGAGATTTTTATCACTTGCACTGCTTTTCGACCTAAAATGAATGTTCTGCACCGTTTTTTTCATTTTCAGGAGCAAAAAAAAAAAAGAACAAGAAAAAAATCCACTGGCCTTTACTTTTTTTCTGGAAAATTGATAGGATCTGGTCTTGAAATCAGTAAAAAAAAAAAAAGAACAAGAAAGAAATCCACTGGCCTTTACTTTTTTTCTGGAAAATTGATAGGATCTGGTCTTCTGAAATCAGTGATAAACGCTTATATACAAACACTCTGCATTAAGCTTCTCCTAAGCCACATACATAGTACCGAGGGCTCAAAAGGATTACACAAGAGGAAAACCAAGATAGAGTTTGAGCCATGTAGTCTGCTCATAGAACAGATCTTATTGTTTCAGGATTGGGTCACTGTAGAAAAAGCTATAAATAAAACAATGAAGAGAAAGTTTGGAAGTAGGAAATGTATCAAATGAAAAAAATAAAACAACCCACCACCAAAACTGCTGCACCCCTCTAGCCTTATTCAAGTCAGGACAGTAAGATTCATAACCAAATAATATCCTGAAAAAGTCTAGTGCTCTATAAGCAAGATCAGCCATTTTAACCTGAACAGTCAGAATGTGTTGACTTCAAAAATTGGAGCTGTAAAATCACTTTTTAAAATTGTCCCTCTATAACAAGGCTGCTGTTGTTCTTCCCAGTTATCTTTTACAGTTGCACAATATAAATCATGAGTAAAATACTCATGAACTTAAGGGACTGCAAATATAACTGAGCAGGCAATTAACATTGTTAAACAGTTTTATAGATCAGTAGGTAGACATGATAACCAACAACACTAAATGTAATTCAATATTTCAGTTAATGTACTTAGATGTTGATATCTAGTGCTGAAAGCAAGATTCTTAACGGAAACCTACTTTGACTACTCATTCAAATTAACATCCAAACCATGTCTAGTGTAACCATTACATTTCTTCTTTTTGCTGAGTTTGCAAGGATCACTCTGATTTACTGAAAACACTCCACCACATTAGCAAAGTACAGAGGAGGAAAGAAGGAGAAAAAGGTCCTGGCAGGATTTCTCCCATATGAAGGACTTTTCATGTAAAGGAGTGCTAGTAGCAAGAATCCAGGCTGCAGTGTAATCTAGACCATGCAATTTGACCCACAAAACAATTCTGAAAGTATGTTCTAATTTGTTAACAATACAGTAACATTGGTAACAATGCACATAGAAGTGTACAAACCGTTAAAATTCTAGAAATATGGTAGATCTTGCTCAGTTTTGAAAAATAATCTTTTTGCAACCTTTCAACATCTCAAGAGTGATAGTGAAATAAAATCTATGACACTTGAGGTGATACATTTCATTAAACATTAAGAGTATACCAATATTATTACAAAAAAAACAACTATCTGTAAATAAGGTATTATCAGAGATGCTGAAAATCCAACAATGTTTAAGAATATTTACGCAGCAAATGTTTGTTTTTCAAGTAGTCTTACCATTAAACAGACTATACTTTAGCAGCTCTTCTGTATGTAATTCAATCAAAATGTTACTATCAGTCTGGCTGAGTCAGAACCCTTTTAATGATATCTAAACACTGACTGGCTAGATCTTCCGATAGACAGATAGTCCAGATGAAAATCATATTAGGATTAGGAAAACCTCCCAAGACAGGAAAATTTTGCTGTGAAGATTGATCACCTATAATGAGAGAGAAAAATAGGAGGCAATAGGCCTTGAGGGGAATGAAATACACGTAAATTTTTTTATGGGGATCTCCTTAATGGGAAAATGAAGTATGTAAAGAGAAAACCAGGAGTTTTCATAAGAAATGCGAAAATGTGTAAAGGTTATATAAATGAAAGACCTTGCCTCCAAAAGAAGTTCTGTGGCTCTTTCCTGAAGCATTGAATGTCTCTTTTAAAACCAACCAAACCCAACAAAATAAAGGTTATCCAGAGATTTCCTTTGGTGATATATTACAACCTATTCCACAGATAATAGTTTCCTGCAATGTTTAGTTTGTATAAGCTTTTCTGTAAAGTCTCTGTGAAGCACAGAATTACATTTGAAAATTCTTATGAGATACAAAAATCTGTGTCAGATTATTTAGTTACTGGCAAACAAGCAGAATGAGAAACTTCAGAGTGGCCCAAGGAGAACATGACGATAATCTGTAATTTCCTTAACCAGTAAAAAAATGCAATGGATGAGCAGACAGTGAGGTAGACTGGAAACTGGCTGAACAACCAGGCCCATGATGGTGGTGATCAGCAGCACAAAGTCTAGTTGGAGGCCAGTAATGAGTGGTGTACCCAAGGGATCAATACTGGGTCCAATCCTGTTTAACATCTTCATTAATGATCTGGATGATGAGGCAGAGTGTAACCTCAGTAAGTTTGTTGATGACACAAAACTGGGAGGAGTGGCTGATACACCAGAGGGTCATGCTGCCATTCAGAGAGGCCTCAACACACTGGAGAAATGGGTTAACAGGAACCTTATGAAGTTCAGCAAGGGGAAGTGCAAATAACTTCACCTGGGGAGGAATAACCCCATGCACCACTATACGCTGGGTCCACCCAGCTGGAAAGCAGCTTTGCAGAAGAGGACCTGGGGGTCCCGGTGGACACAAAGTTGAACATGAGCCAATAATGTATCCTTGCAGCAAATAAGGCCACCAGTATCCTGGGCTGCATTAGGAGGAGTGTTGCCAACAGGTTGGGGGAGGTGATCCTTCCCCTCTACTCAGCACTGGTAAGGCCACACCTGGAGTGCTGTGTCCAGTTCTGAGCTCCCCAATACAAAAGCGATATGGAGCTACTGGAGACAGTCCAGCAAAGGGTCATGAAGCTGATTAAGGGACTGAAGCATCTCTCATATGAGGAAAGGATGAGAGAGATGGGACTGTTCAGCCTGGAGAAGAGAAGGGTCAGAGGTGATCTTACCAATGTGTATAAATACTTGAATGGAGGGTGCAAAGAGGATGGAGCCAGGCTTTTTTCAGTGGTATCCAGTGACAGAACAAGAGGCAATGGGCACACACTGAAACACAGGAGGTTCTGTCTGAACATCAGGAAACACTTTTCCACTGTGAGGGTAACTGAGCACTGGCACAGGTTGCCCAGAGAGGTTGTGGAGTCTCCATCCCTGGAGATATTCAGAAGCTGTATAGGCATCATCCTGGGCAAGTGGCTCTAGATGACCCTGCTTGAAAAGGGGGTTGGACAAGATGACCTCCAGAAGTCCCTTCTAACCCCCGCCATTTTGTGATCCTGTGGTTCTGTAATAACTAAACAACAGAATTGGCTAATACTGAAATAACTAGTTGAAAGACAAATCTAAGGTAATAACAGAGGTTAGACAAATCTCCATCACAATGCAGACTTGTTTTGGTGGAATTTGCTTTGAGTCATGGCAACATATATATCCAACCTGGAGAAATCTGTAATATTTAGGACTGGTTTCAAATGGATCCACTAGGTC